CTCATTTCACACAGGCCATTGCCTGGGCATCTTTCAGTTGTGACTGCCCTCCCTAGGCTGAATCAAACCTGCAACTTGGAAACAAGAAGCTGTGGATCTCTTTCCACATCTCTGGACATCCAAGCCTTTGTTTATTTGAGTGGCAATATAGGAATATAGAGTAGGACGTTCAAAAGCACTCAGATTGGTCTAACTCTTGGTGCTTATGACAGTTTCACCCATAATGGGAAGATGCACTAATCTTGTGTTTCACAAATCTGCTGGACATAATTTTAATAATGACAGGGCAAAGAGAGCTCCACTCCTTGACTGCAGATATGCCTCCACAGTGCTTTACGAATTTAAACTAATGAATGCTCACAACAAGCCTGCTTACCCCCCCCCCCTTTTAAACATGCAGAAACTGAGGCACAAAGGAGGTTACACTGACTTAAGCAATGCCACACGGCAAGTTGGTGGCAGAATGGGACTACTACTCAGGTGTTCCTACCCTGTTCATTCCTCTAGTCTGCTGCTACTCAAGAGACAAAATGGCAACCTACTGCTATTCTCTTAACAGGTTGCTCTATGCCACTGGGAATGGAAAATGGGGAGATCAAGAATACTCAGATTACAGCTTCTTCCTATAAGCAATCCTGGTATAACTCATGGGTACCTTCCCTTGCACGTCTCAATCAGCAAGGGAGAGTGAATGCCTGGCAAGCAAAGGTAACAAACAAACCAAAAAGAAAAAAATGCAAAGTCAAAGTTGCTGTTGTTAGCAAATATGCCGCTGCTCTGGTGTGTGTCTGTGCTCGCTCTGTATTCCCCACCCATGCTGTGCACGCTAGTTTATTTTCATTTTTTCCTGTGAGAAGCCTGTGGGAGGTCTGTGACAAGCGCATCTACTTGAAGGAAAAGAGATTTTTTTATTTAAAAAAATAACGTTTTCTAATTTTATAACGTGAAGTGGGAAGCAACAAAACCACATATGGAGAGTGGAGGCAGTGGCGTGCTTAGCTTGATGGGCCTGATCCTGTAGCCCCTACTCATGGGAGCAGTCTCTTTGGGCTCGGTGGATGAGTACACACTGAATGTTGGTGTTGAGAGCCAAATTCACTGGGTGTAATTCTGTTGGCTTTATCGTTGATCAGCAGCACTGCCTAGTGCCAGGAGCATTAGAGTGAGATTCAGGAGGCTTGGGATCTATGGCCAGCTGTGTCACTGGCTTGCTGGGTGACCTTGAGCAAGTCAGGTCCATCTGTGCCTCAGTTTCCCTAGGAGGTGATGACACTTTATAAAGCGCTTTGAGGTCTACTGATGAGAAGTGCTTTGTGAAGAGCTACGCTCATTTGCCAGGGGTGTATTTGTATTGCTTTTCATTCTGTGTTGGTGATGGAAATGAATGCTGGACCGAGGGGTCAGTGTGTTATATCCGCTTAATCACTGCAGATGAGTGGTCAGCAGAAAATGCTGATAGTGCTGCCGTATGTTTAAGGTTCTGGGTGGGCAGATGCCTTCACACAACTTTAACTGTCATTAAGCAAAGTTTCTGGTTGTGCTAACATAGGCACAAATACACATTTGCTTACACATGACTCTTTGTATTGATTGTAGTCAAACAACAACCAGCAGTGGCTGCAGATTGATCTCCTCAAAGCTAAGAAGATAACTGCTGTCGCAACCCAGGGTTGCAAGTCCATGACTACTGAACAGTTTGTGAAAACCTATGCCATCCTTTACAGTGATGAAGGCACAGAATGGGGCACTTATATGGATGACTCCACTTGTGTGGGAAAGGTACCTTTTTAAACCTAAGAAAATTCTGTCCCAGTCTCAATCTCAGAGCACTTTGTGTCCCTCCTTTGGGCCTTGGGAGGGATAACAATGTGAGAGGCAGCCCTGGAATGAGGGGCACAAAAAATTGTCCCTGCAGTTGACTTTAAAATGCTGGGGGAGTGATGGTTCTATTACAGATGACGAGAACTTCCCTTTCATGGCTGTTTATTTCTGATGTAACTAATTTTCAATGCTAAAAGGGAGGGAATGCTAAATTTTTGTGCAGTGCCATTGAACCTGGTATGAAATCAGTTGGCGTGCCTTTTAAAGAGGGTCATTTCAAAGGAATGCATAGAATATGTATGCTGAAGCTTCCACCAAAGGTCACTGCACACTATTTTTCGCTTTAATTTTTTAAGTGAATTTAGTGCTGGTGGCAGGTTCCAGATTGACAGAGCTGAGACCTCCCTGCAACACAACTGGTACAGCACTTAATTCTACAAGATGCCCCAAGTTGACCTGACAGACGTGCTTCAATCCCAACCTGCAGAGACCACATCTAGTGACTAGAGGGGAGATTTGTTAGTCCCCAGCCAACATAGGGAGCAGTTAGCACCAACTGTAGTGATAGTTTTTGTGAGAGACAGACAGAAATGGAGACCATGAAATCATTTCACACAGACCACAAAACAGACAAATTTTAGCTGTTCTCAATATGGACAGGATATGTACCAGTGTCCTAGATGAGGAAGACTGTATATACATTGCTTGCGTGAGCCAGTCCATCTCTCCCTCAACATAGTAACTCTGAAGCCTTTAGATATCCCCAAAATGCTGCTGCTTTTAATTTTTTCCCCCCCACTAATTCATTGTTTTCTATTTACTTTCAGGTGTTTGTGGGGAATGAGAACAGCAGTGGACAGGTCAAGCATTTCTTAAATCCACCCATATTTTCCAGGTTCATTCGCATAATTCCTAAAACCTGGAATCAAAACATTGCTCTTCGTGTTGAACTGTTTGGCTGTGATCCTTCCTAGGGGCTGGACACTTGAGTATACATGAACAAAGGATTGCCAGATCTGGGAGCCATGTGTTTTTCAGCAGTGCAGAACTGTATTTAAAAAAAAAAAAATCTTAGCTTTGGTTATATTTAGTCCTTCTGAAGTGCCTTTCTTCCAAGGATCTTAGTGGTTTGCCAACATCAACTAAGAGATTTCATTGGCAGATATTTCATTCATTCACAACAGGTGGGAGGGCATTTCCCAGAGTGGGTAGGTAGGCAAGTGTTTGCTTTGCTCAAGCATGGGTGCTAAAAATAGCAGTCTGACTGCAGCTACACAGGTGGCAGCTTAGGCACATGGGTGAAGAGATCAGGTGGGATTGTTCTCAGATGCCTAGCCTGTGCTGCTATGGTCACAATGCTATTTTTAGCGCACAAGCTCGAGCAGAGCTAGCACATGTCTGGCTACCTGCTCTGGGAAGCGCCAGTGTAGACCCACCCTTAAAAAGAAAACAACAAATAAAAAAACCCACAAAGAATGCAGCTGTGACATGCCTCTTTCCATGGCAATCTGTGCACCCAAATGCATTCCCTCCATTTCTCTACCACTGTCTTCTCCTTCCCCAATTCACTCACAATGGTCTGTTCTCCTTTTGTCCTGGTCCTCACCTAATTTTAGACTCTCTTTCCTGAGGGCAGGGACCTTAGGCATAATCCTGAGCTCAGATTTGCTCCCTTTGTAGCTCACTCACTGTGGAAAGCTATGAGATGTCCCTTCCTAGGCATTCCCCTTGGCTGTTGAAGAGAGAGAACCTGCTGGCAATAATACAGGGTTAGATAACAGGATGGTGAAGACACCTATATCTTGTCTATACTATACCATTTGCCAACATAATCACTGGGGAGGCTGCTATGATGCAAAAAACATATAGATTTTCCCAGGATGGATGCATTCAGAGACTATATTCACTGACCCTGAATATACTTTTTCAGCAGAGTTTTAGCTTAAGCTTTCAGTACTGTAGTAGCCTCCAGTCTTATCAGCAGAGGACCCCCTCTGTTCACGTGGTTCCTCATAGCCTGGGCCAGAATATCATCAAGAACCCTGGACCTTGTTTTGGTCCATAACTTTCTAACGTATTGTCTGATGCTGCTTCCAGAGAATTAGAATTCTTATATAAAAACATGTACACGTTTACAAATAAAAATGTATAAAACCAGTTAAATTAAACTTTAAAACCTCTTTTCACATTTGATTCTGCTTTTTTAAAAATACATTTCATATGGTCACTGTTTTTCATTTGAAAGTACAGGCAGTCCCCGGGTTACGTACAAGATAGGGACTGTAGGTTTGTTCTTAAAGTGAATTAGTATGTAAGTCGGAACTGGTACATATTGTAGGGGAAACTCTAGCCAAACATTTCTCCAGAGCTCAGTTTTATTCTCTCTCACCTCACTTCCCTCAGTCCTGCAGACCAGGGAGACGCGGAGCGGCTTTTCTTGCCGCGGAGGACGCGGGCAGCGGGACCATGGCGCGTCTCGGCGGTCTGCTGGGGGAGGAGGACGCAGCTAGTGCAGGGTTGCCTCACCCCGTTTGTAAGTAGGGATCCGATGTAAGTCGGATCCATGTAACCTGGGGACTGCCTGTACAGCGAAATTTCTGGCGCGAACAGCAAAATATTAACACTTCTGATTTTCCATATTTTCAAAGGCAACTTTGACAATTTGACAAAAACCATCATCAAATATGAATTTTTTGCATCACCAAAGGGCAGGAACAAAATTACCAAACTGTTAATATGAAAATTTTCAGGTGGAGTGCAGCGAAAATTTCCTAATTCAAGACCCTTTCATACTGTGAGTTTTAATAATTGCATGATTGTTAAATGATCAGTTGTTAAAACATTTTATGATGGTCCTTGTCAAGGGGCGGACTTCCCCCTCGATGATACACATGTCTCTAATGACTCAGGCTGGCCCGGTCTGTAAACTGGCGTAACACCATTGCCCCTCTACTGGGTTATTTTGAGCCCTGAGGCCTGGTCAAATGTCCCTGCTTTCCTACAGGGGTGATTACAGCCCTGAGGCCTAGTCAAAAATACCTGCCCTCCTACTGGGATGATTACAGCCCTGAGGCCTGCTCAGAAGTCTCTTCCCCTCTACTGAGGTATTTACGGCTCTGCAGCTTAGTCACAAGTATGCTGCCCTCTCTCAGGGTGCAGACAGCAGCCTTCCGACCCCATGCGCAGCTAAGCTGCTCCCCAAAGTCTGGGGAGATTAGGGTTGCCAGGTGTCCAGTATTGGCCCAGACAGTCCGGTATTTTCGCCTCCTGTCCAGTAAAAAAATCAGAAAATACCGGACACCTAAAATGTCCAGTGTTTTTTTGTTTTGTTTTTTCCCCTGCCAGGAGGCGAAAATATCGGACAACTGCCAACCCTACAACACACTAGGCAACTGGGCCTGGCTCCCGACACCCCCTGCCCTCGGAACTCCTCCTTACCTGGTTCCACAGGGAAGCTGCGGTTCTGGCTTGATCAAGAAAACAAAATCGCCACCGGCAAAAAGCCTAAAGACCAAGGGGAAGCAATGCTTACCCTGGGTCTTAGTGCTCAACCGCTCCCCTGTTCCTATCTCTATTCTGACTCTGTACACACTGAGGCTGTGTCTACACTGGCAAGGTGTTTCCGGAAAATCATCTGATTTTCCGGGAAAACTTGCCAGCTGTCTACACTGGCCGCTTGAATTTCCGGAAAAGCACTGACGATCTAATGTAAAATCATCAGTGCTTTTCCGGAAAAACTATGCTGCTCCCGTTCGGGCAAAAGTCTTTTTCCCAAAGACTTTTGCCCGAAAGGGCCAGTGTAGACAGCCCGGTAGTGTTTTCTGCAAAAAAGCCCCGATCGCAAAAATGGCAATCTGGGCTTTTTTGCGAAATACCGCGTCTAGATTTGCCACGGATGCTTTTCGGAAAAGCATCCTGCCAATCTAGACGCGCTTTTCCGAAAATGCTTTTAACGGAAAACTTTTCCATTAAAAGCAGTTTCGGAAATTCATGCCAGTGTAGACATAGCCTGAAAGTGCCATGATGTTTTAATGCTAACAACTTTGGTCTCCCCCTTTTTTTCCCTCCCTCAACAGATTTTTTTCCCCGGTGTTTTGTTTTGTTTTGTTTTGGGGGGTGGTGTCAGTATTTTTGGGTAAACCATCTGGCAACCCCAAGGGAGATGGATTGTGGAGGGTTGAGGAGGGAGGGAGACACAGGCCCTCACACTCCACCAGGTCCCATCCCAGGGCCCTGGAGGGGTTTCCTATCGATATGCGCTGGGCCCCCGGAGGACAATCCCCGCCCTGGGCCACTTCCTACCCCTCTGAGGTTGCTGCCCCATTCTCGGGGTGTTACAATATATGATGGTTCCCTCTGGACTGTCTCCCTAACTGGAGCGGCCGCAGCTGCTGAGGTGGGACCTGCGTCAGGGGG